CCCCCCCCCCCCCGTTTATACAGTCTTAAGAGGCAGTTGGAAGGGAGTAGATGGTAGGGAAGACTTCGGTGTTGGGGATGCTATTTGGGACGTCTGACACCCCTAAGGGACTTCAACTGTAGATTGACGCAGTGAAGGATTTGCCGACAAGTGGAGATTGTCTGCCAACGTTTCAAAGTGTACCACAATGACTTGCAACTAGAGATGGGCACCGTTTGAAAAATATCCGGTAATACCCGGTTGTTTGGAAAACCAGCAGGCGTTCATGAGTGACGGTTATCAAACAACAAAACCGGAGTTATTTGGAAAAGGAGGCGTTTTTCAAACGGTTATACGGTACCCGGTTAACCGGTTATCCGGTCAACTGGCGCTAAAAAATCGGTTATTCGGCTGTTTTTTATTTGAGAATAGCGCCTCATAGTCGGTTTTTGCTCATTGGTTGTTCCATTCCGGTGCCCATCTCTTCTCTGACACTACGATAATACATCGTGTGAGTGAAGTGCTGCATCATACACCGGCGGAACACGGACGGGGTGGTTGAAAGATGGTGTGCATGCCATAAAGCCACAAAACAGACCCAAGTTTGAGAGATTGCGGAGGCGTTTCCTTACATGATCCGGCTAACCGGGTAACCGGGGCTACACCGGTTTTTGAATTTTGAGAATAACACCTCCTAGCCGGTTATCGGTTATTGCTTTTTCACGTCCGGTGCCCATCTCTACTTGCAACCGGGATAGTGAGCACCCAGTAGGGCGTAGGTGGGAGTGGGGGGTGGAGGAGCTCCCAATAGTGGATCAGTACACGTATCTCGGAGGTGAGGTCGCAAAAGACTGCATGGAATGCACACGTGTTCAAAGTAGCAGAAAACGTGGAGAGCGCGAGTAGGGAAGTTGCACCAATTCTCGCAAACCGGCACCTGGAATAAACGCACACATTGACAATTTTGAAGAGCGTGGTTTTCCCGCCGCTAGAGTACATCGGGAACGTATGGAAGGAAAGTAGAAGGTTGTCAAAGAGCTCGAGGCGGCGCAGATGAAAGCAGCCGCAGATGAAACCAGCGACAACCATTCTAGGATGCTCCAAGCGTGCAAAGATTGCAGCAGTAAGCGCATTCAACCCCTCGATCAGGAAGAAACGCAAGGAAGCTGTCATGGCAGTACTGTATGCATGATATGGGAGAGGAGCGGTTGCCGAAGTAGCTGGGGAAGCGGAGTGGGAATGACAAGGGGCAGATGACCCAAAAAGTGTGGGTACGGTCGCAGAAGAAGTATCGAAGGGGTTCAAAATTGACTGAGGTGATACGATTGAAACGGTAGGGCTAGAGGGGTTCAAGTAGAACAAATCTGTTGCTTTGCCGAGAGAGAAAATGTAATCCAACCAAAGAAACCAAGGACAAGGAGGGGCTAGAGATGTGTAAGGAATGTTAATAGCAGGAATAGGCTCAAAGAGTACCTGCATGGGCCAAAGGATACAGGGACAAGGCCGAAGGTCAAACTAAGGACTGGGGACAACAGCCTTCGAGCGTAAACGAAGATTTAAAAAGGTAGACGAAGATGACGACAAGTTAAGTGTGAAAGCGGTTCCAAGTGCGAAAACCGGGTTCATGTTATTGCAGAATGTCCGTTTCACGAAAACGAGAGAGAAAGGTACATGGCTGAGTCAGGAAAAATGGACGGGGGTCACAGAGAGATACTTGAGGCATGGAATACCCAGGAGAAGACAAGGGCTATACTGGGGCATAGGAAACGACAGGAAGTGATATCGATAGGATAGGTAGGGCGGATGTATTTTGAGCCACCTCTGGCAAAGTAGGTAGGAACGATTGGCGGTCGGTGATCTGTCCTGTGGGAACGCATGGTCAATGATCTAACCGCTAAGGCGTGCAAAACATGTAGGCCCTCTCCCTCTCCCCAAAATGCTCGAAATACAATGCGTTTGCAAAAGGGTTTCGTGCGGAGATCCCTTCATAAAGGGTGAAATTTCCTCCACGTCTGTCGAGGACGATTCCCTCGTCACGTTCGTGTTCAAACTAAGGACATATATGCACCACGGGAAGCACATCGATTTTCTCCCTTTCCTCTCCCAGACTGGTACTAGACTGCAGTCGGCGTACTTCACAATCAGCAAGAGTTATTTTGACACATGATGCATGCTGCATGATGCCCTTCAACCCATAGGCCGGTTTGTATGAGACCTACGAAGATTTGAGGAAAACCTGATTTACGAGTCCCCGTAAGTGAAAAAAGGCGTTGTTCGTGCACGCCGTACGATCGGTCGACTTGATTGGTCACGACATAGCAGTGTCGATACAGCCAGGATGAAAACCGCCCGTCCTGAAGTAGGTGGCAAGGATAAAAATACCTGTGTCGGTTCGTCCTACTAGAGGGCAGTGTCGCAAGTCGGCCGTGTTTGTTCTTCAGCAAGCCTCTCCGCTCGCTGCCACTGTTGCTCCGATGCAACACCGTTCATTTGATCACCCCTTTCTGAGGTTGCATGCGAGCTCACTCATCATTCAGCGGCAGCGGCACGAACAGTACAAAAACAATATAATACTGACCCGAAAGAGTTTGCGTGTCGGAGGGCGTATAGCTCTGTTGCTGGGCCATCTCATGATATTTATTGATGCGTTTTACGAAAAAGTGATACGTCACGCAGCATTTCATTCCGGAGGCTGGGGTAGAGAATGATATCCCTCTCTGTCACACCTTTCGAGAACCAGTAGGCACTGTCGAATGAACCAAACGATCAGCATATCGCAGAGGTGTCGGTGCTTTTGCTTTTGCACGTTGTACTGGTCCCCTTCTCTGGCTGGGGCGCACCATGTGGTTACAAGGGAAGAGCTGCCGCATTTGAAAACACATCGAGCTGGTACTGACAAACCACAGACCCGGCAGGTTTTTGCTGTGTCGGCGTGGCCTAGCGACGGACCCGGAAATGACGCCGGTCTTGCAGTTTGTTTTCTCAGCTGCGATACATATGACACTCGCGGTGGGCCCTTCCTGATCCTTGTGTTACATCTCGTAGTTCCTGCTATCGAATGGCCGTGACTTTTGACAGCAGTTCGATCTCGGGTTTTCGGGGTAAATGCTGGGTGTTGCTCGGTTTTGCCACACCAGGATGGGAAAACATGTTGCGCCGATCGTCAATCTTTATACTGCGATTTCTATCCTTTGAACGACTCTGCTGTGGGTATGTGATCGCAAAATATCTGGGCCAAAACGTTGGATTAGGTTAGTTCGAAAGACGCACAAGTTGTTCCGGCACGTCCATTTGCATGCGCATATTGCACTGCTATTTTCACGATCGCGGTACACCTTATTGTTGACCCTCCTCCGCCCATGCCCTATCCACACGTGCCCCCCCCCCCTGTCTGTCTCTCCTGCGACCCAGGTATGCCTAATCTGCCCGAGTCTGAAGATAGCAGCGCCAAGGTTGACTACAACTTCTTCAGCTCCTCGGCGGGCGTCGGGGCCACGCTCAACGCCACCGTCGTTGCCGCCGGCCACGAACGCCCTGAACCCTCCAAGACCGCAGTCTCCAACGACTCCGCCTCGTGGTCAAGCGGCCGCCTCACTTCGCCGCCGCTGCCACCGCCGCAACCAGCGTACGACGACACCCTGTCAATGCCGCTCTCCCCGAGGCGGTACCATGTGAGCGCCGCAGCTCCCAAGCCTGCTCCAGCCACCGCTGGCGATCTTACCACTGCCCCCCCGTCGTGCGCTGTCGCGCGCGGTATGTCTGAAGCGACCGACAAAACGAATCCGTTGTCTCCGTCTACTTCACCTCGTCATGAGCAGCTGGGTTCGTGTCCAGAGTTTCGCATGACGATGTCGTCTGGTGCAGCTGCCACGGTGCCAGCTCCCACCCGCGCTTCTGGTGGTGCGGCGGTCGGTGCCGGGGGTGTGGTGCCCCCGCCCCTGCCCCATCGGGCGATCGTCCCTCCTGCTTTGGAGAAAACGGATGAGCGTGGTGTAGCAGATGCGACCAAGGACAGTGGCGGCCTCGCTGCCTCGACGGACCAGTCGGACGAGACCCCGAGCAACATCGTCCAAGAGGTGGCCGAAGACGTGGCTGAGGGAGTGGCCGACATGATGCAGGTCATTCGAGGCGTGTTCGGCAGGGGGGAAAGTGACGACGGCGATGATGCCGACCCAACACCACCACCGCCGCAGAAGGCGGTCTACGGTGGTGGTGGTGACAGTGGCACCCCTGAACAGAAAGATTTTCTTGTTTCCGCAGTCCTCAGTCGAGGTGAGGCATTAGCGCTGCCGCATGGCCTGTTGTGCTTGGCTGGCGGCAGCGCTGGTAGAGAGCGAGAGCACCTCGTACGATATTCTTGCAACGTCACCCCACTCCCAGCCTCGCCAGGAGGAAACTATGTTTTGCTATATAACCCCATCGACGTTCCCTCGTCCCGTTTCCCCCTGTTCCTTCTAAAGTGGTGGCAAAAGCTCCCATCCGTCGTGATACAGTACTGGGCCCTCTATAGTGCAGGGGTGTGTCCAGAAATTTCACCTGCACTATAGCGGGCACCTGCACTATTCAGAATAGTGCGTCAATAGCGCAGGTTCGGCGCTATTCAGGCTTTGAGTATATTATACCTCAATAGTATAGGTCCGGCACTATTGAGGAGATGTTTGATTTGATGGTGTAGCGCTCATGCGTCGCGGGGCTAACAGAGTACGAAATGGATTGAATTACAGTAGTGCTGGGCCCTGTTCTAGCGTGGGTGTGGGCAGGCTGTCCTGCGACCCGCGTGGTTCCCCCCTGTCGCACACACAGAGATGTAGAAAAATTACTTGCAAGTTGAATCGTTACTTTCTTCCTGTTTCAGCNATTACAGTAGTGCTGGGCCCTGTTCTAGCGTGGGTGTGGGCAGGCTGTCCTGCGACCCGCGTGGTTCCCCCCTGTCGCACACACAGAGATGTAGAAAAATTACTTGCAAGTTGANCCTGTTCTAGCGTGGGTGTGGGCAGGCTGTCCCGCGACCCGTGTGGTTCCCCCCTGTCGCACACAGAGATGTAGAAAAATTACTGGTAAGTTGAATCGTTACTTTCTTCTTGTCTCAGCACTCGTACTACTGCACACCGTGAACTGTCGCATGAACCAATCCTTCAACATTAATACTTAGTGGACGAAGCTATATCTCAGTCCTCGCCGCCCTCGTTCGATGTTGCAAGATAAAAAAAAAAACACGCCAGGACCCGCACTACAAGAAAACAACCACTACTTCAACAGCTGTAGACAATGTAACCCCGCCCTCACTACGCCGCGAAAAATTATCTCATGTCTGCCTGGCGCTTCCATCAAATTGAGAATCTCAAGCTTCGTGTTGTTGTCTGGCCGCGCACGAGAACCAGATCCCTTCTTACTCCCCGCCTTTGCTTTCTTCGGGCGTGCGTTTAGATGGATGGTCCCGCCCCAGCACCCTCAGCTGGTGTCGCATTGCGCTTGCCAGCCTTGGCGACGCACTTGCTGCAGATGCGGTGCTTTTCGTCGTCCTCAAACATGCTCCCGCAATTGCCGTGGAGCCGTCCGCCACACCCTCCCTTGCAGACGGGGCCATGAGGGGCTTGCGGCGTTCTGCTCCTTGATGGCGGCACAGTTCACCGTTCGCACAAGGCTTGTTGCGTCCCTGCGTGAGTGAGCTTTCGGGTCTGCAGCAGCACGTGTACCCTGGTTTCTGTGTTGCGTCTGTCCGCTGTCTTATCCGTGTGTGTTTTTTTACTAGCATCGACCTCGCTAGGCTGACCAATGAAAATACGTCAGTCAGTGCGANAACACAACGTGGTGCGATCATCCCCCTTGCGCGGAGCGAGGGTGCTCCACCCCGCACAACATGATCTACTCGACCACCACTCACTATGGTCACCGCCAAAAAAAAACCGGAGGTAAAAAGAAACAAACGGTAACCTGGTTGCCCGAGTTCACGAAGTGAATTGACTTGTTTTACAACGTCTTTGCCAAGCGACGAAAACCCAATCCCGATGG